GAAGCCTGTTAGTCAGTTCTCACAGCAATTAGGGGAAGAAATGGCCAGTGGCTTAGGCCAGGGTGGGAGTGGAAAACAAGGTGAGATAGATCAGATTCCGGGTGTGTTTCAAAGAAAGATGGCCCAGAGCTTCCTTGTGAGTTGAATGTAGGAGTAGAAGAGAAACAAGTCAGAGATGACTCTGAAGCTTTTGGTGTAACAGGGAGCAGCAGGAGCAAGGGCAGAGGGCTGCAGGAAAATCTAGATAGAGAAATGCTTTGGAAGGGAGGAGGGGTCTGGAATGTGGCTGATGCCTCTGACCATGGGATTTGGCAACATGGAAGTCCACTGGTGGCTGTGATCTGAGCTCTTGCCATGGTGTGTGGGCAGAAAGCCGGGGAGTACTCCGGTGGAGAGAGAATAGGAGGGGAGGATCTGGAGACAGAGTTGGCTCCAAGACAAGCAGAGAAGACTCAGGAGCAGAGTGGGTCAAGGGAAGTATTTTGTAGACATTACAGCACCTCTGTGGGTTCAGAGAAACAAAGAAGTGTCTAGGAAAGAGAAGCAGCAGTGGAGGAATGGGATGCCGGCAGACTCCTTATAAAGGAATGTATGTGGTCAACAGTAATAATCAGGAGTAGCCAAAAATGCCCCCTGGAACCAAGACTTCTGCCTAACTGCTTATCACAAGGCAGAAATACAAGGGGTGACTGACAAGTATGGTGCATGTGTAAATTAAACAATTTATTACAGTAAAGGATGCATTGCTATTGATCCCCTCAAAATATTCCCCCTTGTTTCGAACACACCTACCCCACTATTCAACTGCCACTTTCTGAAGCAATTCTTGAAGTCCTCTTTTGTGAGTGTGATAAAAAACAATATGATTAATGTTGCTACTAAGTGCCATCCAAAGAAAAGCAGGCTCGTAAAAACATCAGTGTCTTCTCATCCATATCTGACACCATGTGACTTCTGGTTCTTTCCCAAAATCAAAATGATCATGAAAGGTAAATGTTTTGAATTGATTCTTGATATTGAGATGGCCATGAATAGACACTCAAGAAATAGGACTTCCAAATGAAGTGTGTGATTCCATTTATTATGAGGTACTATTACTCAAAATCATAGAGACAGAAAAATAGAATAATGGCTGTCAAAGGCTGGGGCAAGGGAAACATGGAGTTATTATTTAATAGATATAGAGATAATAATAAAATAATTTAAATAGTTTCATGGCAATGTGAGTGCACTTAGCTTCACTGTACACTTAAAATGACTAAGATAGTAAATTTCCAGTATGTGTTTTGTACTGCAGTTAAAAATTTAAAAATAAATGTAAGTTGTGACATCAACATAGTCATGTTCAAAATCAGCCACTTTCCTACTGAACTGACTGTGAGGAAGATGTTTTTTCTGGGGATACCAACTAAAATGACATGTTTGGGTGTCTCTCTCCCCCCTCTTCCTACTATATAATGTGACTCTCAAGGGCACATTATATTTCATGAAGCAAAATCACTAGGACTAAGGAACTCATTAAGTATCTGCTGATAATGATGGTTTTGCTCTTTCTACTGTCATGTTAATAAACATCTGTGACCTATGTACTTTTTCCCAAAGATTCCCACTGATATGGCTTTTTGTCCTTTTTTTTAAATTGTAGTAAATACATGTAAAATTTACTAGTTGTGGCATTTAGTACATTCACAATGTTGTGTAAAACATTTTATCCCCCACAAAGAAATTCCATACCCTTTAGCAATCACTCCCCATTTTCCATCCCAGATTCCCTGGCAACCAGTAATTCAGCTTTCTGCCTGTGTGAATTTGCTAATTTTAGATATTTCATATAAATGGAATCATATGTGGCCTTCTGTATTTGGTTCCTCTTGCTTAGCTTCATGTTTCGAGTTCTGTCCGTGTTGTGGTGTGTCTCGGCACTTCACTCCTTTCTATTGTTGGATCACACCCCACTGGATGGCTATACCACATTTTGTTTATCTGTTCACCAATTGTTTCCACTGTTTGGCTACTGTGAATTATGCTCCCGTGAATGTTTGTATACAGGTTTTTATTTGAACACTAGTTTAAAACTCTTTTGGTTCTATGACAAGGAGAGGAGCTGATGGGTCAGCTATTGCTTGATCTCGAATGTCCCCCAAAGACTCACTTGTGCAAGGCTTGGTCCTCAGCCAGTAGTGCTATTGAGAGTCGGTGGAACCTTTAAGACTGAGGCCTCATTGGAGGTCTTAAGTCATTGGAAGTGTGCCCTCAAAAGGGACTGTGGGACCCTGGCCTCTTCCTTTCTCTCTTCCACTCCCCAGCCTCCATGCAGGGAGTAGCTCTGCTGTGCCACACACTTGCTACCATCATGTGCTGCCTTGCCACAAGCCCAAAAGCAACAGGGCCAATCAATTACAGACTCAAACCTCTGAAGCTATGAGCTAAAATAAATCTTTCTTCTTTTTAAGTTGATTGTCTTGGGTATTTTGTTACAGTAATGGAAAGCTGACTAACAAGGGTCATATGGTTATTCTATGTTTAAATTATTGAGGAATCTAATGGACTTAAAATACTTTAAAAACTAGACAAAATTATCCTACTAATAAAAGAGCCAGTAATGGTGGAACAGAGAAAGTGAATATGGTTATGGGAAGAGCTAAGCATTAGGGTATCTGTGTGCTGTGCATGTGTGTGTGTGTGCGTGTGTGTGCGCATGCATGTGTGTGTGCACCCTGGAAGGAGAAAGAGAATGCAAGCATGCAGGAGGGGACAGACAGGAAGCCCCACTCCCACAGCATGAGAACACCCTCATGTGACAGAGCCAACATTGCCTCCCAGACCATAAAGAATCCTAACTTGGTCAATGGTGAGAGAATATGGCGAAACACAGTCAGACAGGCACAACCCAGAGATAACTCAGTAGTATCATTAACAAACTTCTACACTAATGCTCATGGGACGGCAGGAAGACGCTCAGTTAATTTTGTCTACAGATGCCACATCAACATAAAAGTCATCTTATGTTTGAAATTGAAATTGTGCTGTCTAGTCTGTAGGATGTCAGCTCATTTCATAGGTTTTTGTTTTTTGGTGTTTTATTGTTTCCTTTTGAGCACAGAAGATGACTTTTGGTGTGGGGATTGATGTGAACATTTCTCTGAAACAAGGAAGGAACAGAGGGCAGACTCCAACTGTGGCCTTTCTGGCAAGCTGTGTGGGGTGACAGGATAGAGCTTTCTTCTATTCTCAGGCACTGGTGGGCAGCCTGAGAAAGTTGGCTGTTGCTGAATACCTAAGCCATGTCACTCATTAAGAATTTGAATACCTAAGTACTCTGCTTTCTGATACCTGTGCATGTTATACAAGCTGAGATAAGAGGTACTATTTACTGACACTCTACAACCCCTGGTCACCTGTGTAGCCTTGCCCCAGCCACACACTTTATGCCCTGACATACCAGAGGACCAATGGTTCCTAAATGCACCACCACTGTCATCTCTCCTGGGTCCGTGCTGTCCTCAGCCTAGATGCCTTCCTATGCACGTACATGGAAATGTCACTTTTTTCTAGGACTTGGGTCCTCAACTTCCACCTCCACCCCTCTAGTCATCATGCAGACCCTGGGCATGCTAAACACTCTTTAGGACACTCTCATTCACCACAGCTCATTTCTCACGCACACACATCTCAGAAGTGTGCGTGGTGGGGACTTGGTGAAGGGGCCTTGTTTCTTACACTTGACGACCTCTCATGTTCTCAGGGTGCCTAGTGTACAATGGCCAGTTCATGTGCATTTGCTGAACTAAGCAGGAATGCAAGACAGACACAGCAGCTTTGCCCTCCCATTGCTGGATCTTCACTGGAACCTTCAGTGGATGTGTTATCCCCTCACCCTGTCCACCTTTATACTAATCCTCTCCCTTTCTCTCTCTCCAGATCAGAAAAGTGGGAGGTACACACGGTTAACAGAAGAGTACACAGGCCCCTTTCTCCAGCATGCAGTCCCATAGCCAGTAGGGACATCTGCACCCTGGCTGGTACTGAGAAAGCCTCTGTCCTGAGCAGAGAAGGCTGGAGTTTGTCTGCTCTGCAAGAAGCTGAGTCCATCAGAAGGGACTTCACCAAGGTCCCTCTAAAAGGACAGGGTCACCAAACCTAGTTCCTGACTCCTGGTCAGGTGCTGGCCCTGGACACTGATACTTTTCCAGCTGGGTGAACAGATTGTGTACTACGGGTCTTGTTTATGTGGTGCAACAGGAACATATCCACTCTCAGCCCATGTTGTTGACTCTGCCCCTTCCTCCTTACTACCTCCTGTCCAATCCGGCCCAGCACTGTACAAGCATTGACTCCTGTTCCCTAGGGGGCAGCATCACTGACTGGGCAATATGTCAACCCTATGTCCTTTGCCTTCCCTCCCTTCAATTTTGGATCTGAGGGGCAGGTGGGCTGCGAGTCTCAATCCTGGCTGTATACTGGGATGACCTGGCAGCGTTCAAAACTATTGACATCTGGGTGCCACCCTGGATCTTCTGATCAGATCCAGCCTGCACGTCAAGGTTTTTAAAAGCTCCTAGATCAGTCTAATGTGTAGTCAAGGTTGAGAATCACTGGCCTGAGGACATTTTCCATTTCATGGTTTGTGGAAATTCTAAACTGGAGAATTTCAGTTTCTTCCTTAGCTATTAATGCAGAGCATTATCCCATTTCACTGGGATGTTTTGAGGTGTTTAGTTCCCTATCAAAGGCTCCAGGAAGGGGAAAGGTACATAGTTAATATAGGCAACCAAATCTGATGGCAAAGAGTTAACCCTGGTGTGTAAAAAACCCCCAAATAAATCCCTAGGTATCAGGACAAAAAATACTCTGAAACTTCCAGAAGTAGGGAAAGCATTACATCCCTTTAGGACAGTAGATCATGACATCATCCTTCAGTCTGTGGTCAGTCAGCACACATTGAGTACCTACTTTTGGACAGTCATAACAGCCAGGAGTCTTGTCAAGGTGGTACTTACTTCTGGGGATCTTGCTGGGGTAAATCTTCTGGCTTGGTTTGTATTCATCTGGAGGGGGAAATTCTTCCACAGAATGGAACGTGAACTTAGACTCGAAGTCGTCTGCACATGTGGGAAACGGTAAAAGTTAGTGGGGTGACTGTTGTGACCCCTGTGTGATCTCTTCCAGGAATGCACAGGCAATTTAACTGAAAATTCTGTCTTCTGCTCACCTGTTCTGTGCAAGGGGCTGGATGGCAGGGCTACTCCCTCTAAGACACCCACCCATCTGCCTTTCAAGATCCAGGGAGTGGCTGTGATAAGGGAAGGCAGGGCGGTGAAACCCACAGTCATTCTCATCACTCCTCCAACTTACTCCAACCAACAAGGAAGCTGCTAAAGGGGCAGAAGTGGCCAGGGCTACCCAAGGTCCAGAGTTAGGGTGGAGAACCTTGGCCCAACAAGGACCCGCAGCCTGAAGCTCCTGACAGCTGGAGGGCTTCAAGGGAGGTGGGAGGTAGGCAGGGACTCACTGGTGGGTGAGAAGGAACTGCTTGTGTCCAGTGTGGGACCGGGTTCCTCAGAGCAAACACTTCTGCCCAGAGCTCCTGGGAGAGGATGGGAGGGAGGGGCCGTGTGGTCCTTCCCTGGGCTGATTCCCTTCTCTGTGGTTCAGCCCTTGCATCTGGTAGACACTATCCCAGGGATGCAGAAGTTTTGTGGCTTTCCCTCCTATGTTCACTTTTTTGCTCTGACTGTGCCCCTGGACTCCCTTTTTTTCCCTTATCCAAGTCATTCTGGTCTTTTAGGTGCATACACTAATTTCTCTGTGATGACAGACAGACAGACAGACAGACAGACACACACACACACACACATATACATGTGTGAGAACACACATAGGTTTTTTTTAGACAGGGTCTCACTTTGTAGTTCAGACCGGCCTTGAGCTCACAATATAGCCTAGGCTGGTCTCAAACTCCCAGTGATCCTGCTGCCTCAGCCTCTCAAGTGCTGGGCTTACAGGTGTGTGCTACCATAACTGAGAAGCACAGCTAGTTTAAATGTCCGTTTTCCTCCTTTCTCAAATCTGAATCAGAATACAAGAGTAGGCCCCGGAACCATGCAGAATGCATTGAGAGAAACCCTGTCTCACAGACCGCACAGGTGTTCTATGCTTGAGTGAGCCCCCCTACTCACTGAGAAGCACACACCCCTAACCCACTTGCCAGAGGCTGAGGGGCCACATCCTCACCAGCATCCCACTCTGAGCACACGTCACTTACTGATGATGTGCAGGCTTCCGTTTCGCAGCTGGCCTCCAGGCTGTGGGGTGGGGGTCCAGGCTGGGGCCTGTTGGCTCTTGCTGGAAAGCTCTGTGGTGGGGGATCTTGCGGGGGGTGCAGGAGGTGGATTTAGTTTTCCTCCACCGGTCCCTTCCAGAGAAGATGATGGGGTGTTCAGATAAAGGAATGTGTACAGTGGATTCTACAGCTTTATGTAAGCGGGTAGGGGTTTAGATCTTAGGATGTAATATGACAAAGTGAGTAAGAGGGCAATATCTCAAGCCAATCTGGGATTCACTCATGGTTCCCCTGTTGGGATGACTAATGTAGCCTCTTTGTGCCTCAGTTTGCTTATCTGTAAAATGGGAATCGTAACAGTACATACACCTCCTAGGGTTGTTGAGAAGACTGTATAACATTAGGATTAAAATCTAGGGTATGCCCCCAAAGCCTCGTGTCTGGAAGGTGACTGGATTATAGGGGGCTATAGCTGACTTGCTGTTAGGAGATTGGGGCCTGGCTAGAGGTGAGCCCAGAAGGGTGTATCTCCCTCCCCATCTCTTCTCTTCTCCTCGGCCTCCTAGCTGCCATGTGTGAGCAGCTTTCCTCTGCCCATATCCTTTCTCCATATCATTTCTGCCCAGGTGATAGTGACCCAAAATAAACTTCTCCTTTTTAAAATTGTGATGTTGGGGGTTGTGTCTCAGGAAGATGAACAGAGCTGATTTAAGTCAGCTGGCATCTGGTAAGGACTTGATTAGCTACTGGGCTATTACTGATGGCAATATCCCTCATTGGCACATGGTACAAGCCAAAGAAGGGAAGCCATTGCAGACTGGTGGGAGTAGAAGGACAGAGAGTAGGTGAGAGCTCAGCTGCAGGGGGTTGTTCCTGACCCCACCTTCTGGTTTGATAGCTCTCCTGCACTGCAAACCCCCTTTCTCCTTCCCTCAATCCAAACCCTCCAGGGACCAACTCAAATCCAACCCATATCCTTCAGCCTTCTCAGTCACATGTGTGAGAGACGCCCTGTCTCCTCTGCCAACACTTTTCCGTCTGACTCCATTCGAAATCAGGGACTCCCTGTCTGGGCACTTCAGTTTAGGCATTCCACTGCTGCTTGCTTCCTTAGTGACTGCCAACATCTTCAGCTGCCTGTCTGATGACAATGACGCCACTGCTACTGTGCTGTTTACAGTTATAGTCTCTTTCCTTTCTCTCGAGTTGTGCTGAAGCAGAATTTACTCTCACTTTGCACATGAGCAGACCAAGCTTCATACCCAAGGTGCAAAGAGAAAGGCCTACTGCACCTACTGCACCTACTGCAGCAGGTGTCCCGGTCCAGGGCAGGAGGAGGTGCCCCAGCAGCAGTGACTGTGACCCTCCCTGAGCCATCCCAGCCTCTGCTCTGCCTTTGGCATCTGCCCAGTCTCCTTCCTCCTCCTTTCTGGACTTCCCTTCCTAGGCAGCAGCATCCAGCAAGCATTTATTTGTTCTTACAAACTGTCTGTAAATGAGAAGCTGCCCTTCCTTATGAGAAGGGAGAAGAAAGGACTGCACTGCAGCCTCAGCCACATGCAGGCCCTCACTGAATATCCACAGTCATCCTATGGGAAAGGTAGTATAATTTTGTTCCTATTGCTCAAATAAAAAAAACCCCCAAAGATCTTTAAAAAACACCCAACAGGGATCAGATTATACAGCAGTGTGGGGAACCTCAGATTTGAACTCAGATTCCTCCAAATCGAAAGCATGATTTTTTTTCACTCCATCATGAATATTTAAAAATCAAAATATTAGAAAGGGCTCACAACTATAAATTCTGGCCCTCCAGGTGACTAGTTAAAAGAGACAAGTTGATTAAAATGTTACCTCTACTGATCAAGTCTTAAAAATGTCCATTTAAATGGACATATATTCAGAGAAAAAGTGAAGAGGACCCGTCCCAATGGTAGTTTTCATCTCTGGGTGATGACATTATTATGAGTGTTTTCCTCCTTCCTCTTGCTCTTTTCTTCTCTTTGCAGTACTGGGGACTGAAGCCAGGGCACTGAGCTACACCCCAGCTCTTTAGTTTTTAGTTTTGAAACATGGTCTTGCTAAGTCAATAATTTTCCCGGACAGGGCTGGGACTTCCAGTTCTACCTCAGCCTCCAAGAGGGCTGAGATTACAGGAATGTGTCACTATGACTAGCTCGGTTTCCTTCTATTTTGCTGTACCATGAGTTTGTATCATTTTTAATTCAAGAAAATAATTTAAGAAACTTTCCACATCAAAACATTTGCTGACAGGCTGAAGAATGTGGTATGTGTCTAAGTGTAGCTGCGTACGGGTGCTGAGTATGAGGTGTGTGTTTATCCATGTCTGAGTGCACAGATGAGTCAGTGTGTGTATGGATGTAGGTGTTTCTGAGTATGTCTATGTGTGGCGCAGATTCGTGTGAATGTGTGGCGCATGAAATTAGTCTTGAGCCAGGTACACTCAAAGGACAATCCTCTTGGCTCTATATGTGAAGGAATTATCCTTATTCTTTGGCTCAAAAAATGCAGGCCCTGTTTCTTGAGTCAGTGGGAGGACTCACCAAAAGGCAGAATGTGCGTCTAATCTATAGAGGGCCAGGAAAGATGTGGGCCGGGAGCCAGACTGGAATAACCCAGGCAAAGACCAAAAGGAGCCCTGTTCTGAGAAATGAGCTGCATCTATCCCCTCAGCCCTAAGGAACAGATCTGAAGCCAGAGGTTGACACAATAGACAACCCTTCGTTAGAGCTCACTGTTGCCAGGGCCCGTTCCAATCACCATATATGGAAGAACTCAATGTTCACAACAATCCCACCACGCAGCAACAGTCGCCATTCCTATTTTAGAAAAGAGAAGGAACCAGAGAGGCTAAGTGGTTGTTCGGGGTCACACAGGTAGTAATGGCAAGGGGATCAAGGCCAGAATTCCTGCTTTCTCTTCTGCATGATCTTGGGCAAGTCTCCAACCTCCCTTATCCTCGGTTTCCATGTCTAAAATGATACCTCAGTCAAGTCCCATAGAAGAGCAAGGTTTTATTGTGTTCCACCAGGGGGCACTGAAGAGCTGTGATGTTAAACAAAATCTTAGCGTCTGAGCGATCCCGACGTTCGCACATGGCTCAGGACAGCCTCTCCGCGCGCCAAACGGCCTGCTTACCCGGGCCTCGGCCTGCTTACCTGGGCCTCGGCCAATCCTCTTCTTCTGCACGAGCGGCTGCGACCCTGGAGGGCCGGGCGGCGCGGGCAAGGCTTGCACGCTGGCCTTCTGCGGCTGGGCCTGGAAGCTGGGGGACTTAGGGGGCGGCGGCGGAGGGGCTTCGGTGCTGCAGTTGGCGGCTGGCGCCGGGGGCGCAGGTGCAGAAGCCCTGGGGGAGCACGTTGCGAAGGGGGGCAGCGGAGGGGGCGGGGGAGGGGGTGGCGGGGCCGGGAGCTCCCGCACCTCCTGGGCGGGGCTGGCGGGCTCCGAGTTGAGCCCCGGATACCCACAAGGCGGGAGGAGCGGGAGCGGGGGCGGGACGGGCGGCAGGTGCAAGGGGGCCAGTGGGGGCCTCACCGCCTTGTCATTGGGTGCGGGGGCAGGAGGCAGCGGGGGTGGAGTCGGGGGTGGAGGCGGGGGCGTGCAGGGGAGAGGCGGCGCCGCCACAGCGGGGCTCCCTTTGCTCGGCGGGCCTGGGGGGGACACCAGCGGGGTTTTGCTGGGAGATGAAGGGGGCAGAGGTGGAGGCAGGGGCGGCGGCGGCGGCGGCGGCGGGGCGGGCACGCTGGGTCGCGGAGGGACTGTTCTCGGGGCTCCGGGCCCCTCGGAGGCGGTGCCCAGCCGGGGAGACGCAGGAGGGTTCAGGGCGCCGCTGAGGGTTTTGGTGGGCAGCCTGGGGGAAGGCAAGCGCGAGCCAGGGCCCTGCCCTGCTTTGCCACCTGGAAGTGAAAGGAAATCTAGGTTAGTGCAGCAGTTGAGGAAGGAGAAAGTCCCGATGTCTGGGACACCCTCGGGCACGAGGTCCAGGAGCTGCAGGAAGCACCATTTTTTCTGTTGTCCACCGAGAAGCTTCAGGTGCAGAAGCTGTCACACAGCCGGCCCAGCCCCAAGGCTCCTCCCAGCATGAAGGATCCGGTGTCTTCCAAGACAAACCCAGGCCTCCAGCCTTCCTCTAATGTGCCACCTCCGTTCTCATCTGCCAGCAGTCGCCGGGTCCCCTAGCGCAGAGCACAGGACTGCCCTGATCTCTGCAACCTCTACACCCTTCCTCATCTCAGGGATAGCCCCTAGGGCATTTATTGCTACCTGCGAGGCCCACCAGCCCTATGCTCTAGTTAGGATCCTCAGGTTACCAACCAGAAGTCCTGGCTAGGGAGGTTTTCCTTCCAGCATTTTGTGAGCAAGGACTTTCTTACTTTCTGTGTTGAGAACAGAAGATTCATGATTCCTTGAATATAAGCAGGAGACACTTGCCCTTGGCAATCCAGATCCAGTGATCTTGAACCTCCTAGTTCCATGACCTTGGGAAGTTCAAAGTCCCCTTTCCCAAAGACTTGCTGGCTTCCTAGCAGCTGCCTCTTTCCTGCTATCCCGGATTTCTCACCCTATATAGTAGCTAATTCAGCACACCAGCCTGAGCTTGAAATTCAGTTCCTCTTCTGAATTAAGCAACAAGAAATTGTTCATGGTGAGCATTTGTGTTTGGTGGGCTTCATGGAAGACTGGGGTGTATGTCAGGAGATCCTTGCTACTCTGCCCAGCCCTGCACCTGATTGCTAATTCTCATCTTTATTTCTCTTTGCCTCTTTCTAGAGGAAAACTTCCTGTCCCTGTTTACTGTATAGAAGCTCTGAAATCGCTCCTGACATACAATCTTGGAGTGTTCTGTCATTGTCTTGTCAGGAGGGATTCAAAATACTTCTTCCAAATGTAGCATTCTCCCTAAAAGGAATTCCATTTTCCCCTATGTCAGTGCCCCTCCCTATATTTTATAATCTCCATGGCAGCATGTAGAAAACACTTGAAAAAATCATTGTTGCTCTCACCTAAAATTTCCTGGGTGCTGCCACAAAGAAAACACAGGTTTCATTTCAGATCATGAGCCCCAGTATCTGTTGGGAGTTCTGAGCTTTTTAGTTCGTAAGAGTCTCCAGTGTTTTTGCAGCCAGGTGTTAAATCATACACTAAAGGATCCGATGTTAAAAGGCCAATGAGGGAGAGGACAAGGGACTGGGTGTCTAATGCTAAGTGGGCGGGACCTGGTAGTGGCCTGATAGTACAGTGCGTACTATCTGGTTTCCCAGCCTGGTGACCCTCCGGCTGTGAGCATCACCCAGACAATGTTACTATGGGATGGCTGTTCTTAAGGCAGGCCAGTGATGCTGTCATTCCTCTGCTGAGGATTTTCTTTGAGGTGATTCTGGAACATGTAATGTCTTTGCAGTCTTTGCATCTACCTTTGCTGACTTGATGCCAGGGGCCAAAGGCCAAAGGCAGGCATTGCCACAATAGCTAGGACCATGACCAGGAACGGAAGTTCCCAACCTGGCCTTCCCAGGGTTAGGATCTTCCACCTGCAACTCCAACATAAGTTATTTTATGTGCCGTCTAGGGCAAAGGTCAACTCAGGGAGTGAGTTCTGCCTGACAGTTCTCCAACCTTTTTCCGTAGTACAGAGATGATGACAGAGAACCCAGGGAGCTCCCTCAATATGGCAGAGCCTACCTATGTGCCCAGTTGTTGGATGAAATTTAAGGGATAATACATTTGAAAACCAGAATGGAGTCTGCCCCTGAATACCAAATCCAAGCTTTTTAAGTGATTGAAGACATCAGACATCAAGTTTTTGAAACCCTCAGACGAGTCTGGAACCCTAATGCCAGCTCCTGGGGTGTTATCCTCTCCATAGCACAAGGCAGTCTCAGAGAGCCGGCCTTCCCAGGCGGCAGGGGAAAACCATCGTGGCAATGCTGGCCCCAAGAAAGCCCATGGTTATTGTAAGCTGCCAACACAGTGTGGAGTTTTGCTCTGAAAGTGACTCCTGCAGTGTTTCAGGGTGGAGTTGGGAAAGAAATTCACTGCAGTGTCTGCTGTAGTTGGGAGTGGTGATATATTCAGAAACCATTTGGGGAAGGGGTTTGTTGTTTACTACTGAGCTACTCTGGGAATCAGAAGTCACAGAACATCACAGTCTCTGGGATCATCCTACCACAGTGAGATAGATCTTTGCCCTGACTGTTGGGAGATAGTTATGGAAAAGGGGCAGACCTACTTCAAGCACAGAGCTTAGTGGTCTGTTTCCTTTTCCCATCCGCCAGTGTGATCAAGGAGATACCTTAGCTTGTAAAGTTGCCACATCCTGGGGTATATGGAAGAGGGATCTCTGGAGTTGGAGGCATCTCATGAGCCCATAGACCATAAAGCTAGTCAGAGATAAACGGGACTTGGGGCATACAGGAGGGCAAAAACCCTAAAAACTGCTGGCGTGAATATAGCCCTAAGGCAGATTCCGCATGACTGATTGACCCTGTCTGAGGGAAAGGTAGGGCAGGACTCAGCATTCACGCACACAAAGTGGGCATCCAAACAAAATAGGCCCTAGTTGTGATTCAGTATCCTTCACCCATATCTGGTGGATTCCAATACCACAGGCCTGGAGAGAAACTACTCACCTAAACTCATGGAGGAATTTTTTGAACTCATGTCTCTTTTTGGTTTCTTTGGGTTTTGTTTTTGTGTCTTTTTTTCTATCTTTAACTCTTTTTATTGATTTTTCTTTTTCTTATTTGTCTCTTTCTTTTACCCTTGCCTAATTCTATTAACTTTCTGTTAATTTTCTTACTTTTCTCTTCTCTTCTTTTTCTTTTCAAATTTTACTTCTTTCATTTTCCATTCCCTAACCTCTTCCATTTTAAAAATTATTACTACTATGCTTTATTACTTTTTAGCTATTTAGTTGACTCTACGCTATTATTGCTGAGTTGTTTTTATTGTTAATGGTGGTATAGTTATTGCTTTTAGTAGGTATTTACTAAGTGTCAATATTTGGTTTGTCTTTGTGTCTACATTATTATTGCAGATCTCTTTTCTACTGTTAAGGATGGTATAGTTGTAGCTATTATTGGTTCTTATGATATGTCAACATCCTGTAATAATCCTATTATTTTGCTGATTTCTTTTCTATTTTTGACAGTAGCAAAATTGTTGCTTTTAAATGGTTTTTACTGTATGCCAATATCTGGTTTGCCTTTGTGTTGTCAACATTACCTCAATTTGTTTTCTCCTCTCTGAGTGGTGCTGAGGGTTAAGCTTGCAGAAGAAGGTTGGGCACTAAGAAAAACTTAAAATGTTCTATTGAATAGGATGAGGAGTATAAATAGCAAAACATAACCAAATCCAAGGACACATCACAGGGAGACAGTATCGAATTAAAGAGGTCTCCACAGTAGTGACAGAGCTTCTCTACCCTAACTGATATTCAGCCAACAGTGCAAAAACAATATGCACATGAGAAAGGTGACAGGGTGTCTCCAAACCTCTGTAATTCCCCAAAAGCTTATCTCATGGTCACTGAAGTAGAAGAAGCTATAGGCGAAGAAATAAACCAAATGGTCAAAATGTTTGAAGAGATAAAATAAGAAACATATAAACAAATGCATAAGATGTTTAATGAGCTCAAAGAGGATTTAATTAAACAGATAAAAGATTTTACCAATAAAGTGTTTGACAAGCCTAAAGAAGAAACAAACAATAAATTAATTGAGCTAAACAAGACAAGACATGAATGGCCACTTGGCAAAGAATTAGAAAGTATGAAAAGAAAGCAAGCAGAAGCATGTGTTATGAAAAATTCAATGGAAAGTATGGGTAGAGGACTAGACCAACGTGAAGACAAAATATCAGAAAACAAGATTTACATAGTACATCATCAACTCATTGATACCCTAAAAATGACAAGATGTTGTGCAAGCTAGATCCAACAGCTGCTAGATGACGAAAACAAAACGACCCAACCTCAGAATTATAGGAATCAAGGAAAAATTAGAAGATGACTCAAAAGGTATAAAAAATGTATTCCTTACCTGCAGCATCTCTCTGGCCTGCTGGTCGCAATACAGGAAAGCCACCAGCAAAGAGATCTCCCAGGGCTGGGGGTGTGCTTCCTCCTCGGGAGTTCACAGGGCCTCCGCCTTCTTTGTTGGTTCCCTTGGAACCTTCAGAGAGAAAAGGCTAGTCAGTGAGGCTTGAGAGCAGAGTTGGGCAGCTCATTCTCACTCTAGGCCATGGTCTAACACTGTCCTTGGCAGCTGCCCATTATCCTCTCTTCAGTATCCCCTTTCCACTCAGCATCTCCCCAAGCACACTCTGCCTTCCCTTGAAGACTCATGTGCCTAGATCTATTTGCTGTCCTCTCTCTTCCTACCACAGAGCTGACCATTTGTAGTAGCAACCACTCGGAAAAGTAACCAAGGAAAAAGATACCTGAAGACTGTTACTTGGTGGATGCCAGCAGAGGAACTGGCAACACTTTGCAAATTAGAAAAATCAATCATGGTAGTTGTAGAGATGTACCTTTCTTCAACTTGTCATTGGAACGACAACACAAAGGAAACCCACAGATCTAATTCAGTCAGTCATGTTAACTTCTTGTCTATAGAGCATTGACCAGAATTTCAAGCAGGAAGTGAAGGCCTATAATTATTTCTGCTTTGGAATTTTCCTTCCCAGTTCTCCAGCTTTCAGGCCCCAGCCCCTCATGTTCCCCTGAACTGTTTCTTTTATGGCTCAGAAAGCCTGGGAGCCTGGGATCGTAACTCCAGCCTTCCAGCTGTGTGTGCTTACCACCTGCAGAAACTGAGAAGATGTTTGGCTTTAACAAGAACTCCTGGCAGAACTCGTCTACAAGCTGAAGATAATATGTAACAGAAATTAGGGCACAGTGCCCACTGGTGGATGAAAGATTATTCTGAGCACAGTATTAATATACATTGCTTCCTCATTGGAGTGATTAGGAAATAGGTGTTCCAATAAACTGGGTTAATTTGTTAATTGAGCTTGAGCAATTAGAAGGTGAGTCTAAGCAGAAACTAATTTTTAAAATTATAATCAATGTTGAAAATATTTCTTTAAAAATATGTCTTTGTGTATTAATATATATGAGGTACAATTATATTTTTAGGACTACCTTTGAGAATTATCATCGTGCACCCATTGTAAAAATATGAAGATGCAATACATTACATTACTAAATAGTTCTGCATGTATTATTTCAACAACATTGACAAACAAGGGCAGGTATTATTATCTCCCTCGTTATGCAAATGAGCATAATGAGCCTCATAGTGGTTCTCTATTTGCCCAGTAGCAGCAGCAGACCTCAACACAGGTTGTCTGACCCATGCACAGGTCTACTTTTTCTCTGTCACGCTCTAGAAGACAGAAGGCTGGAGGCATATGATCCTTTGAGACAGAATTCTGAATCTTGTTTTCCTTGTGAAAAAATGAAACAGAAACTGCATTTTAAAATATTGAGATTTTTCAGTTTCTATCATTAAATTTGAGGACTATGTTGACACAGAGTAAATGATCTCTAAGTGTTACTCCACAACGGGTACAAAATGGGCCACATCCATACACGAGATTATATGAAAAAAGGAATGCAATGCTGATATAAGCTATGACATGAATGAAGTGCAAAAACATTATGCTCAGTGAGAAAAACCAGCCACAAAAGGCCACTTACAATATGATTCCATTCCTATGAAATATCCAGAATAAACAAATCCACAGAAATAGTAGATGAGTGGTTGCCAGTGGGTAGGGGCTGAGAAGAATGGAGAGTGATTGCTAATGGATATGGGCTTTCCTTTCGGGGTAATGGAAATGTCTGGAACTAGATGGAGGGGATAGTTGGTCATAGCAACATTGTTAATACACTAAATGCCACTGAATGGGATAGATTAAGATGGTAAAAGTGATGAATTTTGTTATGCATATTTTATCACAATAAAAAGATACCCCACTATGCAATTTTTATATTTTAAACACTTGAAAAGTGATGGAAGATATGCGCAGGTCTAAACCATCTGCAAACCTGAAAAGGAAGTTCTGATTTTCTTGCCCGCTTGGTCTGTCTATAGAGGTGGCCCAGGTGTATCCTGGGTCACAACTGCAGCCCAGCCAGGGGTGTCTGGCTACACTCCACATACCTACCCTGTCCTGCAGGCCTGATGGAGCTGCTCACTTACTTTCGATTTGTGGGGCACTGCGATCATTGATCTGTGTGACTTTTCGCAGGCGAGTTCCTTGCTGGATATCAGCCAACAGTGCACTCCGACCTTTCGGATCTGCCTTTCCCAAGCTGGAAGTGTCTGTGTTAACCTGTGAGGAAGTAAGAGGGATTTGACTGTAATCACATATAACATGTACAGATAAGCAAATGCCCTGTCTGGTGGGAGTTTTCCCCAAGGTTGATCACACACTTTCAGTTACCTCTAGCTTTTCCTGGGACTGCCTTGGTCCCTACCCACACCTTGCTTCCTGGAACCCAGAATGGACTCTTTTAGATGGCCCTGGCCAAATGCTCATCTTGTGCAAATAAGCCTAGAGGCCTTCTATCTAGAGGCCTAGCAAGCCCTCTATCATAGGCCCCCTGCCCCTTCCTAGGTAAGCACCACGGACACACTTGAAGTTCCATTCTCTGCATACCTGGTCCTACCACAGGTTCTGGATGTTCACCCTGCTTGGTGTCCCAAGGTCCTGCAGACCAAATCTGTGGCTGACCCCAGCTTGTTGATGGAAATTGCTGCTGTGTCCTGCTTGATCCTGGACTATTCTGAGCAGTACTGAGGTCTTTTGGTGCTCACATCCTCCCACTCTTGGGTCTGAGGTGATCCATTATGAGTCCATCATCTCTTTTAATTGAACCAGATTTGGTCTGTGGGAGCTGGCACTGAGGGAGGAATGGTGACCTTCACATAATCTTGGAGCTGAGGGGAGGACTAGGGTGCTCAACAGAAACTGGGGCCCAGAAGGGTCAGGGAATTGGAAAGAAAGGGAAGGCAGGGCTTTTAGCAAATGTTTAGTGACTCCTTGCTTACAAAACTGTATCAATTTAAATGGAGTTGGCTCCCCTTTCACAGAGGAGGAATCTAAGACTATGAATTCCTCTGTTTGAAGTCTCAGGGCTGGTTTTCCACTCCAAATGAGCTGAATCCCAAAGGCCATGTGCTTTTTACTTTGCAACATTAGCAATCAAGGGCACATACCATCTATAGAATATGTGTCCTAGAGACTGCTAAAATACTTCATAAATACATTAGAAAAAACATCTTTTGTCCTAACTCTGCAAATAACTCTGAGATCTAGCTGTTTCACTTCCACTGTAGCTTGAGCTGACCTGCAGCAGGGGTTTCCATGGGTCATCAGAACAAGGGAGCATCAGAAAAAAATGAATGGGAGTTTGGTCAATAGGAAAGAAAGGGGCTGATTTGGGAGACATAGCCAGGAGGATCCTCCAGTTAAGAGGTTTATACCATGCAGCTTTAGAGATGATTAAACACTTCTTAAAGTGGGAAAGATTCCTTAGTCCCTCCTGTATAGGGAATACCATCTGTCTTTGAGTTTCCATTTAAACATCACCATGTCAGATGCTTTTTCTGACCCCAAATTTAAATAATGCCAAATACTGTTCTCAGAATGCTGTGTTCTTTTTTTCTCAGTCATATTTATCCTGAGATGTAAGTTTATATCTCTTTCTATTGTGAAAAATTTCCACTTGTGTTTATGAGTTTAATGTTTATCACCCCTATGGCCTCCCTATCAGAAAAAGATCCTGTTTTGTTTTTTTTTCCCCACCAATACATCCCCAAGCAGTAGGGCAGGACCCAACCTAAGATAGGCTCAATAGGTATTTACTGGATGGGTGGATAAATGAATGAATGAATGAACGAGATCCAGGGGGCATAAGGCACAGTGACCCAGGGACACATTGCAAGGAGTTTGGTCACCTCTAATGCAGCATATGACTGAGCATCTACCATGTCCCACAGAGAGGAAGACCGTGGAGAGCTCAGAAAGAGTTATATGTGTCACATACATCACTGTGGTATGATTCTTTTAATTCTTTGGGGAAGATACTCAACGGGAATAGCTAGCAGACTTCACGGAAGATGTGAGACCCTATGGCCCCTGGAGTGTAACCAAGGTTTACAAATCTTTGCTACAGTCATTTTCTGTTTAGAAAAGACAAAGTATGCTTGCTGACTAGAAACTCTTAGACTATGTAGTATCACAGATTAGAAACAAAGCCCACTGTGGTTTCGGCTAAAATGTGCTGAGCCCACATTTTCACTGGCTGACTACAGCTTGGGTTGTGAATCTTATGCAGGCTTTGAAAGGCACAAGCTCTAAAGTCTGGTTCTTGTTGCCTGGAAACATGCTTTCTGAGCCCTTGAGAGGGGCTTCTGGATGAGGGTGAATGAGACAGCTGAGAGCAAGGCGTCCTAACTCAGATTCATTGGCAATATATAGATACATGGAGTACATATCTAAGTGAACACACACAACAGGGCATTTCCCACACAGCGTATTTTTAGACACCCTATATAAACTATTAATATGAGAAGTCATTTTAAATTGCAAAATTTAAGAATTTTCAAGTTTCCTCTCATTTTGCTTACAAGGGCTGAAATAAGGGACCAACAGAAACATTATGACCTTAGCCAAAAGGGCACAGAAGTTTTTTGTCTGCATGACATTACAATCTCAGGTATGTATTATGGCCAGAGATATGGGAGATGAAGTACTTTGTAATTTTTTCCCCCTAGAGAGACAAACAGCAGAGAATGATAATGATATTCATGGCCCAACTCAAATGACGGGGAAGGTGAGAGTTCACATGGTGCATTCTTTTGTTTAAGGAAGCACTTGGAGTGATGAGAAAGCCCTATGCCTCACTACTCCTGGGAGAGAGGTCTTCTCACCTAATTCAGACTCAATTTCCTGTTTATTACCAAAATGCATCTCCCACTCCCTGACCCTACTGCCCATACCTGGTATTTCACGTGGGGTTATGAAAATGTTGCATTGAAATAATGATTTTAATTTTAGGACCTACTTAGCACATGCCTCAGTAAGTTCCTGACATTACATGGCAGATATGTTGATGATAGATTTGTTAAAAAAACAACTTTCACATCAACAGGAGGATGTGAAAATTTACATAATGTTTACATGATGTAGTTCAACTTGGTGCTAATTTTAATATTCTTTCTCTTTTCATTTCTTTCTTTCCTGCTCCAGTGTCTACCCTGGTGTTTTCCACTAGAGGGCTCTCCCTCACCTGGCATAACATGGTATCCATCCACCTTCTGCTCTCCCACCAGGCAGGGAGAAATTGCTTACTGTGTGCTTAAGTGCCCATATATATTTAGACTTAATAGGCTTTATACAAAAAGACATTTTCATTCTCACATTGAAGATCATGTCACTCAAAGCAGTCATTTTTTCCTCCATCTGCAATATTTATTAATAATTCAACTGTAATTTTCTTTTTGAAAAATCTTTTAAACCCTAAGAATTCTTGTTACTGTGGTTACAGGATGCAGAAACAGGAGAAAAGATTCCTAAATATTCATTGAATGTATTGTTCTATGCAAAACCAGAGCAGCGACAACTTTTAAAAATATAACCAAAGAAAAGAAAGCCACTCCTGGACACTTTCCCATAGCAAATACACCAAAAACAAGAACCAAAAAAATCCACAAAAAAACTCAAGACACTTCAAAGAGCACTCTTGTTTTTCCTTGTTAACAATGGTATTGAGTGTGAAAATCTGCTAGGTTTCACACAAAGCTTTGGTTTATTCAGTTTACCTATAACAAGGTTCAAAAGAAATGACCCAGCATCCGAAAAAGATGTAAGACAGTGGAAGAGATATACACATTAACTCATCCCCTTGGGTGTAAAGGCCAAAAAACAAGTGAGCCAGTAAGATTAGAAATAACAAAATCGAATGACAGTACCAACAAAGCCAAAAGTAGGACTAAAAATTGGTGAGGTGCCTGTCTTCTTATCTTGATGGATCAAACAATGCTTTGGCACATTCATTTATCATACCAACCAATGAGTCAACCTTGGCACAATGTTGTTTGGGGGAAGGCACGAGAGTTCAGCGCAGATTAAAACTTTGAAATCCACGTTGTCTGCTATTTGTCACCTTGCCACCATATGCTATTCCTGCATCTTTCTGATAATGGTTTCTATGATAAGGGTTCTGTGAGAATTTAGCCAGTTGATCCAGCTCAAGCAGGTGATTTCTCTTAAAGATGATCTAAACCTAATCATTTCAATATAGTTCCAGCTTTGCAGTCTCTGTTGTGGCTGCTAAACCTCAGGGAAGTGCACAGGTTTCCATGCACAGGAGCATGCTCATCCTGCCAGCCCTCAGCCTACCCTGGGCTTCCCAGCCTTGGGACAGAGAGGTATCAGTGGCCTTGGTTCTTGGGTTTCATTCCCAAGTCTGGATCACAAGGACAGCCAGGAACGCACTGTGGTCCCTCCCCCCACCTACCATATTTTTGTAGAACACAAGGAACTTGGGGTCCCAAAGAGACTGAAATATTTTCAGAATGATACAGACTCTCCCTAGTTGGACCTGACACAATGTTCCTTGTGCCCAAATGTGCATAAGTCAGACTGTTCAAGAACGAAGCATATTGTGCTCTAACAGTTCTATGTCTCATTTTTGGAAATCTAAATTGTAATTTAAATCCATAGCGGAAAAAATGGCTCCTCTAAACTTTTCTGAAGCTTAATGTCTTAAACCACACAGTCCACATCCTGAGCATTGACTTTCCTCACACTGTGCTGCCTCTGTCATCTGGAGGTGAAGCCAAATTAGGGTTTTTTTCATGTGGGCTGTGGGCTATAGGTGACCTTGGTTCTTTACACCCATAAAAACATACCCATCAGGGTATCTCACCCACTGAGACAACTTTGATTACTACATGTGGCATGCGCTCTGTAACCCAGGACCCAGAGGCCATCCCAGGTCCTCAGTTTTTCTCCCACCAGCCAACCCATCACAACATCCTGTAGCTTTTTCCCGAATGAGTTTTCTGGAATCTAGACCTCTTATACATGCCTTTCTTTTCTTCTTTTTTTGAGACAGAGTCTCACTATGTAGTCCAGCCTGGCCTTGAACTCATGATCCTCCTGCCTCAGTTTCCCAAGTGCTGAAATAACAGGCATATCCCACCATGCCCCATTCTGTGATGCTGTCTAAATGCAGGCCAGCATGGCCTCTGCAGTGCATCACCTACTTATCCTGCTCCCTGTCTTGGCCTCCTGCACATAGCAGCACAGTGATATTCCTAGGG